CCCCTGGTCGTGTGTATGCGCGCGCTTATGTGTGTGTCGTGTCCTGTTATTCATAGCCTAACGTTACATTGCGGGGAAATGTCTCCACGTGGATAATATTATTAGCAGTAAATGTTTTGTAAAAACAAAGATAATAATAGCAGCTTTCAACCTTCATGAAAACATGACATCTCAAACATACAGTAGCCTAGAACTTTAACGTTTGTTTGTGCTTGACGAACTTGTTTTGGTGTTGCACCCGCGTCTCGCAAATGAAACGGCATTCTAAAAATGCTGCGCTCCAGTTAAAAGTCAAACTTGCCTCTCATTACCTTGTTATTTCCCATTCCACCGCAAAAGATGCATCCTTTATGAACAGCCGCTTAGCACTAGCGATGTGTTCTACGTTACGGTCCTTCATTGAACGCGTCACAGGACAGCTGCGGTTAATCGCCTCAGCAACTTCACGCGTATGAAGCGCCAAATCAGCCATTTCCTTAAACAGCGTATTCGATTCTGTATCGTCATTAGTGTTAACAGTTGTAAAGAGTTGGCTACCAAATTGAACAAAACAATATAACTGCAAAATTTGAATTTATGAATACGGTATCCTCGGTATCGCAAAATCCATATCATGGCACAACATAATACCGGTATTCACGTTCATACCGGTATAGCGCCCACCCCTAGCCTCAGCGCTGTCCGTTTAGAGCCACACAGTCTAGCCGTAAGCCCGATTCTCCATCTTACAGAGGAGTGTGCCTGCACCTGTATAAATTGCTCTGTCTGTTTAAATAGATGAGTCTTCTGCTACTGTCTTCTTGGGTGATGCCTGCCTGAAGGAGGGACACACCCTGGCCTCAGCGCTGTCTACTTGGAGCCACACAGTCTAGCCGTAAGCCCGATTCTCCATCTTACAGAGGCGTGTGCCTGCACCTGTATAAATTGCTCTGTCTGTTTGAATAGACGATTCCTCTGTTACTGCCTTCTCGTGTGATGCCTGTCTGAAGCAGAGGCCCGCCCTGGCCACGTCGCGTCAGTACAGCCATCCGCCCCAGCCGTAAGTCCTTGCCCCATTGTTAAGGGAAGTGAGCTTTTAAAAACTGTCTCTGTTTCTGGAATAGAGGATACCTCCGCTAATGACTGAACCCCGCTGAAGGAGAAAGAGACACGAGGGACCCCGCACCTGCTGTCCAGCGACGACACGGGAGTGCGCCCTGCCCTGAGGAGATATACGTACCTGGCTATCCACCTGACTGGCTTCCCTCTTGGCCCACAGCCCCCGTGCTGATTACATCCGGAACGATTAACGGTCTAGGAACATCCCGTCCCATCTACCCACTTGTCCTCCAGTGAGGCTCCTCCGCCCTGCTTGTCCTTCGGAGAGGTATACGTACCTGCCACTCACCTGTCCGGTGGAAGAGTCCCCTCCTAAGTCTTCAGTCCTGGTCCAGGTCTGTTCAGACATCTGTCCACTTGTATCACGTCTAAGAAGGTTTACTTACCAAGATACTTACCTGCTTGCTGGAACGGCGGTTGAATCCCTCCTCCTCGGTGGTTGCCGTGGTACAGATCGGTGGGGTGGACCCTTCGCTTCCCAGGGTCCAAAGTTGGGTTCCCCTTCCTGGGAAGAGATACAAAATCAAAAAGGGGTGGGTGCAGTTTGGCTTGGCCCCCCCCCCCCCCCCCCCGACCTGTGACAAATGCATCCAGATATTATTTAATTATCCCTGAAGTAATTCATCCAGAAGCTTTTCTCTGTGTGACAACAAAATCAGTTGTTAGCAGTTAGCCTAGCATTGGGCAGGGAGGGGCTCAGGTGAGGGGGAGGAGCTGAGTAAATGTAGTCTCACGTCACACAACAGCAGATTCAACTAGGAGGAAATACATTCCAGATATCGGTAATACTTTAGAATACTGTATCTTACTTACTGCATAACTAATAAGGAATTATTGAAGAACTAGTAGGTGATTCTTCATTAACTACTTCTTCACTACTGTTAACTACTAAGGAAGATGTATTAACTAATCAGTTAGTTTTGTATGACTGTTCATTAGTTACTACTTAGTTATTGTTCTTGAACCTTAATTAGTAGATAATTAGTAGTAGTTCTTCAGGAGGTATGACAGAAATCATTAGTTATTGATTAACTAACTGTTACTTAACACAATCATAAAATTCTATACCCATCCTCTGATGGCTACTTCCAGCAGGATAATGCAGCATGTCACAAAGCTCGAATCATTTCAAATTGGTTTCTTGAACATGACAATGAGTTCACTGTACTAAAATGGCCCCCACAGTCACCAGATCTCAACCCAATAGAGCATCTTTGGGATGTGGTGGAACGGGAGCTTCGTGCCCTGGATGTGCATCCCACAAATCTCCATCAACTGCAAGATGCTATCCTATCAATATGGGCCAACTTTCTAAAGAATGCTTTCAGCACCTTGTTGAATCAATGCCACGTAGAATTAAGGCAGTTCTGAAGGCGAAAGGGGGTCAAACACAGTGTTAGTATGGTGTTCCTAATAATCCTTTAGGTGAGTGTATATACTGTATGTACATGTGTGATGATTGGAAATGCTTTGGCAATACATTGAAATAATTGTCATGACAATAAAGCACATATTGAATTATGAGAGAGAGAGAGAGAGAGAGAGAGAGAGAGAGAGAGAGAGAGAGAGAGAGAGAGAGAGAGAGAGAGAGAGAGAGAGAGAGAGAGAGAGAGAGAGAGAGAGAGAGAGATTCTGGTTCATGTTGTGTCAATCATGATGTAATAATGACTGACGGCCACAAGAGGAACAATTTTGATTCTCTTTTAGTTTCTCTTTTCTGCTCAGATTATTCTGTCATGTTTAGTTTGTTGAGCTTCTGCAGATCTAATTTAAAATAAACTGACCTGTAAACTATATATATATATATATATATATATATATATATATATATATATATATATATATATATATATATATATATATAAAAAAAAATTATTCTGATTTAAAATGATTTGTAATTGCAATATTTTTTTACATTTTGCTAACATGATGCTAGCATGCTGCTAATATGTTTTTAGCATGATGCTAGCATGTTTTAACAAAATATGTTAGCATGATTAGCTTGTAGAAACTTGAAGAAAATAGTATAAAAGTGTTTTAAAACCAAACAAACACAAATACTGCATACATTTCTAAAAACTTGATAAATGTATTTTTTTACAGTTTTTTTTTGGTAATACTTTATTGTACAGTGTCATTGTTACACGTTACATGTATTTACTGTAATAATAACTATAAACTAGAATGTACATTTCCTGAAGAAAATGTAAGTGGTGCTTGCAGTGGCAGAGCTCGGCCCTGGACACATGCTAACACAATTAACAATGTTGTGATACCATGATATACCATGTTCTAGTATGATTTACCATGTTTCTAACATGATGTACCACAAATGATCACATTATAGCATGATTTACCATATTTCTAGCATGATTGACCATGATTTACCACATTCTAGCAAGGTTTACTATGATTAGCATGTTTGCTAGCATGGTGTTAACATGATTAGCATATTGCTTTTGCTAGCATGGTGTTAACATGATTAGCATATTGCTAGCATGATTAGCATATTGCTAATACAATTAACATGATGATAACATAATGCTAGCATGATTAGTGTGTTGCTAGCATGATTAACATTTTGCTAACATGATGCTAACATGCTTAGCATGTTGCTAATATGTTTTTATCAAGATGCTAGCATAATTAACATGATGCTAGTATGTTTGAGCAAAAAATGTTAGCATGATTAGCATTTTGCTAGGATGTTTTTAACAAGATGATAGCATTATTAACATGTTGTTAACATGATGCTAGCACATTTTAAGTTATTTTTTATCATGTTTAACCCTAAGCTAATTGCAGTTAGCATGTAGCTATTCAGAGGTAGCATGTGTAACATGTTGGAAGTGCTGTTTGCTAGCATGATTCAAAAGAGCCAACCACCATCTCTATACGATGTTCTTATGCAGAGATATAGGTCTTGCTAAACGGTTGCTAGGGAGAGGATTAGCAGCCACCAATCATGAAACTCCAAAGGCTGCGTGTCAGTGTGAATGATATAAACCAACTCCCATGCCTCTGTTACATTAAGAATGGAAGATACCCCTCTATGGATTTTGGTTGCTAAGGTGCTCGACAATGGTTGCTAGGGATGGGCTAGGAAGTGTTGAGGTGATTAATGATTGGCTGTTTGCTGCCCTGAGTGAAACGAGACCACCATCATGTTTCTATGGCTCTTATATCCTGAGATATCCCTCTGATCTCTTTCAATGGAAGTCAATGGAACTTGTTGCTACGGTGCTTTAAATGGTTGCTAGGGCGTGGCTTGATAGCTTCACAATGATCCTGAGACACTGATTGGTCGTCTGAGTAAAATGAGCCCGCCTCCTTGTCTCTATGACACTGTGATCCAGAGTGTTCAATACAAAATCCCTCTGCAATTTACCATAGTAGGAGAAACGCATGCTTTTCATGGACCGTCCTTCACCATAGTAAGTCAATGGGGCAACTTTGGGCGCCTCTTGCCCCTCAGGGGTGCAACTTTTACCCCATTGTGAGGTATGTTCTTACAGAGTCTGTCAGCCTCTTCAAATGTGGTGACCCAGACGTTTCTGTGAAATCCTCGCTCTGAGCTACGAGTGGTCAAAGTTGGTCAAAGTCTATGGGATTGACCCCTAACCCTATAGAGCATGAACTTAATATTACTCAGCACTTAAATATATAATTACACATTAAAATAAAGTTTTATTTTTTACTTTGACTTTGATGATTTGTCATAGACTGGTTTACTTTCCTGTTCAACAGTTCTTCTGTATCAGATTCAGCCAAACTCTCTTTTGATGAAGATTCATAAAGTGATTCAGTCAAAACTGGACATTAAAAAGCAAACGTGTAAAACAGTGAAACTCAGGGTGACAAACGTTTATCATGAATGAAAATAACAGTCAAACATCAACAAC